AGATGGCATTTGACAACAGCCGAGGTTGCGCAGTGGTTAGGGTGCAGTACTGCAGGCCACTTCAGCTGACTGCAGTTCAGCAGTTCAGCTGCTCAAATCTCACCAGCTCAAGGTTGACTTCCATCTTTCCGAGGTGGGTAAAATGAGGACCCGGATTGTTGGGGGCAATATGCTGACTCTGTAAACCGTTTAGAGAGGGCTGAAAGCCCTATGAAGCGGTATATAAGTCTAACTGCTATTGCTATTGCTAATTAATTGGAATTCAAATCCCACTTCTGAAATGCACTTTGAACCAAACTTTAAAATGATATTATTTTGTATTTTTGATATATGGGCTTTAATATAAACCTGACTAGATGGCAGCACATAGCCAACCTTGACTAATCTTAAAAAAGCTAAGTGAGTGATGGTTAAGCTTTGGATGTGAGACTGTCTGGAAACTGCATGGTTCTGAGATAGGTTTGGGAATTTTAAAAAAAAAAATTGGAAAAAGAGAACGGCAAGCCACTTCCATATCCTTGTCAGGAAAGTCAAGCTCAGCACAAGGACTATGACACTTATGTTTCATTTTACGGATTGAAACTGAAAGAGAATGGTTCAATTACCTTTAGAAGCTTGCTGTATATATTATATCCATGAGCCTCTGCAACTTCTATAATAGTTTTCTGGAAAGGAATCAAACAGAAAAGTTGCCAATAAAATCCCAGTTCCAGAGCCTGATCAGAAAAGGTGCATGGAAGAGATGTGGCCTAATTTTCACATCTAACACTGGAACAACCTGCCTTTTCCCCCATTTCTGGCGATCTAGAATGTGCACATGTAGTTGTAATACACAGAGATGATAAGTAAATCTTGTATTATGGGTATTCTTTTTAAAACACAGGGGTAAGATGCCGTGCAATAGCCCTGAACCCAGGCTAATGACGTGATCTTTCACACAGCAATTCTGAAATAAATTCAGTGGCAGGTAACTGTGTGAAATGCTACAGTCCAAACAGATTTTGCTTCAGTTACGCAGCTCGTACAGAAAAGAAAAGACACGAAAAATAGATCGGAGGTAGATTATTCCAGCTCTGGAAATAATCCAAACTGTATGTGCACCCAGGCATGGACACTCAAACAAAACAGAAACATGTTACAATCAAGTAAGACGGATCAAGGGCTCACTAGTAAGGGAATAGTTGGTGTGTGAAACATCTAACATCTAACTCAGAACTGAGTATAGTATAAGAAACTATGAGCCATTAAAAGCCATGATTATTTTCAATAACATCTAGTTTTACAGTAGCTCCAAGACTAGCAAATGCATTACGGCTTCTTTCACCTTTTCTAGCATATCTTAATGTTAGACATACCTCTGATTGGTTGCATGGAATGCTGTGGTGCTGCAGGTCATATGGGGCTAAGATCCCATCAATAAAATGTATGACTCCATTCTCTCGAGTAATGTCACTTTCAATTATCTTTACTTCATCATTTAAATACAGACTGTTCTGGGAGGGTAAAAAGAGAGAAGACATTTCCAGCATCTTTAAAAACAGTCTTCTTGTACATCATACAAAAATGCAAGAATATTATTCTAGAGCCGGGGTCCCGAACTCCTGGCCATGGGCAATTACTGAGACATGGCCTGTTTGAAATCGGGCTGTGGGAGAAATGGGTAAGGGCGCACGCGTTGGAGCTTGCATGTGACCACAAATGCTGTCCTCTCAAGCACCCCTCCACTCTCACCAGTGGAGTTTCATGCATGAGCGCAAGTGGTGAGTGGAGCTTCCACAAGCACCCTCTACTCATACATGAAGCTCTATTTGCATGGGTGGAGGGCCCACATGCATGCTGCTCACACAAATGGAGCGGTGCATGTGAGCGTGCATGTGCTTGCCACTCACATCCCATCCACCCCTGCTGGGTCACCAAGCTGGAAAATTTGGGGACCACTGTTCTAGAGGGTGCCCTTGTGCCCTTGTGACCTCAAGACTGGACTACTATGAGCCAAGGTGGCGCAGTGGTTAAATGCAGCACTGCAGGCTACTGCTAGATCAGCAGGTCAGCGGTTCAAATCTCACCGGCTCAGGGTTGACTCAGCCTTCCATCCTTCCGAGGTGGGTAAAATGAGGACCCAGATTGTTGGGGGCAATATGCTGACTCTCTGTAAACCGCTTAGAGAGGCCTGAAAGGCCTATGAAGCGGTATATAAGTCTACTGCTATTGCTATTGCTATTGCTACTGCAACGTGCTCTACATGGGGCAGCCCTTGAAGAGCATTTGGAGACTTCAGCTTGTCCAGAATGCAGCCGCGCGAGCGATTGTGGGTGCACCTCGGTTCACCCACGTTACACCTATCCTCCGCGAGCTTCACTGGCTGCCTATTGGTCTTCGGATACGCTTCAAGGCGCTAATCATCACTTATAGAGCCGAGGTGGCGCAGTGGTTAGAGTGCTGTACTGCAGCTACTTCAGCTGACTGTTATCTGCAGTTCGTCCGTTCAAATCTCACCGGCTCAAGGTTGACTCAGCCTTCCATCCTTCCGAGGTGGGTGAAATGAGGATCCAGATTGTTGAGGGAAATATGCTGACTCTGTAAACCGCTTAGAGAGGGCTGAAAGCCCTATGAAGTGGTATATAAGTCTAACTGCTTATAAAGCCCTTCATGGTATGGGACCTGGGTACTTGAGAGACTGCCTGCTGCCGATCACCTCCAATAGACCGATTAGATCCCACAGATTAGGCCTCCTCCGTATTCCATCCGCTGGCAACCACCCGGAGGAGGGCCTTCTCTGTGGCTGCTCTGGCCCTTTGGAATGAGCTCCCCGTGGAGATTCAAACCCTCACCACCCTCCAGGCCTTCCGCAAAGCCCTTAAAACCTGGCTATTCCGAAAGGCCTGGGGATAATGAGTCTTGTCCCCCCCTCGAATGGTATGGTTGTTGTGTGCTTTTAAACTATGGTATTGTTTTGTCTGTCTTTTTATTCCTTATTTGTACCCTTCCCCCTTGACTTGGGTTGTGAGCCGCCCTGAGTCCCCTTCGGGGAAAAGGGCGGCATAGAAATATAATAAATTCAATTCAATTCAATTCATCATTGGCCCTAAAAAGTAACCCATGAAAAAAAATAAAGAAGTGATAGGACACAGTCACATGAGGTTTCTGTTAGCAGTGCAGCAAAGTGAATTATGACTAAGATGGAAATGAACAGGACTGCAACAATGACACACCTCTTTCACAGAAACTCTGATTTTGTGACCAGATAAAGCTGTTATAGAATCCTGTGATTCCAAATCATCTGATAGGAGCATCTGACAGATAACTGTGTGATAGCGAAGCAGATCTTTGATGCAGCCAGCTTTTTCCCATTCTGCAAACTAAAGAAAATATGGTTGTACAAGGCAAGCACAGGTTAAGCCCTTCTGGTTCAGGGGTTTGAAAGGAAGCTGCTCTCGGTGATATAATAGTAATATATCATGAATGACGTCTATTGCATCTATTTCAATTATCTAACATAATAGAAAATGGCTAAAACCTGGTTCTCGTGATCTATTTATCATTTTTAAAAATGTGGAACTGTTGGGCATTGGCATAAACATATCAGTCAATTACATAATAGCCATCAGTACAGATGGGAAAACTGAGCCACAACCGAAATTCAGTTCAACTGAAAATGATTCTTTATTTATTAACTTAAAATATTTCTTTGGCCACCCCTCTTAGAGCACATTCTTAGAGAATGGCAACAATATTACAACTATAAGGTGTTTGGAAGCAAAGTCATAAAAAAATATATGTTTAACTGAAACAAGAATTTGCCTAGAATTTATACTTTTCTTAAGGTTCTCTTGATGAACTCTTCTTTTACATTAAACAACTTTCAGTGCAATGAATAAAGCCACCGCTTGGTTTTCAAACCCTTTCACAGGCTGCTTACTGTGGTCGTTTTCTGTAGATAATCAGCATGTGGGACAAAAATGGTGTATGGTCCTTTCCCCACCATCTCCGTAACTCTATGAGCCTGCAGCACAGGGAGAAGTCCAGGGATTAGTATAAATACCAAACGAAAGTTGTAATCTAGAGAAAAAGTATTGACATTTTGATTCGGAGAAATTCCAGTTTTCTTGGCAGTGCTCAGTAGGTGCTGCAAGATGTAATGTAATCTTGGGTTTTTCAACAGATTTGCAATATCAGGTTCACAGGAAATGATAGCTCTATGCTGCACCAGTACCACTGTCCTTGGGATAGAAATGCTGCCTTTGGTCGCTAGCCGAGGAATTGGAAAAATTACAAAGAACAGTGAGAGGAGAAAAATTTGGGAGATAAATCTAATTAAGAATGGTTAAGAAAGTGGGTATGTTTAGGCTAAGAGAAGGCTAAGGAAAGACAGCCTTCTAAATATTAGAAAATCTTCTAATATTCCCTGGGCTATCACAGGGAAGGGGGTGTAGATTTATTTTCCACAACTTCCAAAACCATAAATGAAAACTCTATAGAAGGGATTTAAATTTGACATAAGAGGCGATTTCCACACTGAGAACTATGAAATGTTGGAACAACTTGGTTTTCGAAATCAAAGATGCTCCATTATTGGTGATTTTTTTTAAAAAAAGGATGACATTTGTCTGGTGATTTTTTAAAAAAAGGCTGACATTAATGTTCTGGGCAGTGGATTAGACATGAAAACCTTCAGGGTCCCTTTCAAACTGATGGTTATATGAACTCTGCACCCATCTTAGAAAATTTCCTCATTCCTTTTTTGTTGCAACACTATTCTCTTCATTGGGTATTTTCTTTTACTGATTACATTCAATTCCACCCCTTTTTTCCATTGAGTCTTCAAGGCAATTAGCAATATTAAGCAAGAATTACAAAATATAAAATATAAAATAAGATACAAAAGCCAAAGATATAAACATTGTTCACACTTAAAAGTTCTGGCTAAAAACATGGATCTAAATTCCACTGTATGCAGAAATAAAAACCAAGCTCAAAAAACAAAAAAACAAACCCCATCAGGGGAAAAAAAACATTCCATCAATTGAGAATCTCTCTAGAATGGATAGATCAGCCTTTTCATTCTGATGCCTTCCAGATGTTCTGTTCTATACTTATAATTTGATTGCCCAGTTGCAGGAATGGTGCAAGTTACTTTCTGAATCTCATTCTAGTGTTTTACCACATAGAAATCCTTCTCATACCTACCCGAATATAACGAAGAAATTCAGAGGCATCTTGTCTTCCAATAAGTTCCTGAGGAAGGAAGGGAAGGAGGGATTAAACATGTTCATAATAACAAGTTTCTTCAAAATGTGCATGAAAATCATTTACTGTAATAGACTTCTAATACTGTAATTGCAGATATGGAAATTCCTTATGAAAACTCTCCCACTGCAAAATTATAATAGAGAAAAGCAGATTTGATGCATGTCAGGCTTTGAGCTCTACATTCTGGCTGAAATCTTCATTTGTACTTGAACTGGTTGCGCAGAGGATTAATGAAGGCGTGGATGCAGTGATCTTTGGCAGCCAAATACTGTGGCTGGATTGATTTTGCCTCAAGGCTTCCATGTGCCCCATGAGGCTTGGAAGCCATCACTCTTCATATATGTGAAAGTTAATTATTAATTTTGAATTATTAATTCTAATAATCATATTTGAACAATTCAATATAGGAAATATATTACCAATGAATTATATCACCCTTACCAATGAATTCCTAGATAGCATACATGAAAAAAAAACTTTGTTCTGTTTACATTTTCTTTCAAATGACAGTTAAACTGATTTATCATCTAATTAGAAATCTTTTATTACCGTGTTTCCTCGAAAATAAGACAGGGTCTTATTTTCTTTTGCCCCACAAAATATGGCCTTGGGCTTATTATAGGCGAGGGCTTATTATTTTCTGGGGCAGGTGAGAAGCGAGGCGCACCATTTACCTTTCCAGCTCCATTGTGTTCCACGCCATTGTGCTCAGGGAAGCGGCTAGTAAAAAAAAACCTTCTTACAAGTTCAATCAAACTTCTTGAAATCGCGAGAAGGGTTTTTTTTTTAATACCCTGAACACAATAGCGTGGAACGCGACAGATCTGGAAAGGTAAGAGGCGTGCCTCAAGGCCCAACACCACCCCACTCGCCCAAATGGTAAAGGCAGCCAGCCATGTTCCCTTCCCCACCATGGCTTTAGCAAGGGGTGGCAGGTGATGGGGGGGGGGCAAAGCGAGGTGCACCTCTTACTTTTCCAGCTCCATTGCATTCCTCACCCTTTCGCCCATTGAATCCCCTTGTAAAAAAAGCCTCATGAGTTCAACTCATGAGATTTTTTTACAAGGGGATTCAATGGGCGAAAGGGTGAGGAACGCAACGGAGCTGGAAAGGCAAGAGGCGCGCCTTGCGGCCCCACACCACCCATCTTGCCCCGTTGCATTCCTCGTCCTTTCACCCATTGAATCCCTTTGTAAAAAAAACCTCGCGAGTTGAACTCATGACGTTTTTTTACAAGGGGATTCAATGGATGGCAGGGTGAAGAACGCAACGGACCTGGAAAGGTAAGAGGCACGCCTTGCTTCTCCCCCCACCTGCCATTCCTCGCTAAAGGGATGGTGGGGAAGGGAAAAAGGGAGGCTGCCTTTCCCATAGGAGTGGGCGGTGTTTTTTTGCGTGAGAAGAAAAGAGTGGTGGGCTCTTTTTGCATGGGAGGGAATTTGAATTTGAATTTGAATTTCCTTTATTTGTATGCCGCCCTTTTCCCTGGGGGGACTCAGGGCGGCTCACAATTCAAAAAGGGAGGGGGGGGAAAGACAAACAGTATTCCAATATGAAAACAAGGGTGGAAGGGTGGAAGGTGGAAGCACTTTGCTTCGCCTGCTGCTGTCTTTGCAGCAAGCCGTCTTTTCGCCCCGCAGATTGCACTGGTAAGTNAGAGAGAGAGAGAGACAGAGAGAGACAGAGAGAGAGAGACAGAGAGAGAGTGACAGAGAGACAGACAGAGAGAAAGAGAGAGAGAGACAGAGACACAGAGACACAGAGAGAAAGAGAGAGAGAGACAGAGAGAGAGACAGAGATAGAGAAAGACAGAAAGAGAGACAGAGAGAGAGAGAGACAGAGAGACAGAGACACAGAGAGAGACAGAGAGACAGAGACAGAGACAGAGACAGAGAGAGACAGAGAAACGTGACTGCCTTCTGTCAACTTTTCAGCCGGCTTGCAACAAGCAAAGTCATTGGGGGAAGCTGGATTTGCTTAACAACTGTCTGATTCATTTAGCAATTGCAGTGATTTCCTTAAGCACCATGGGAAAAAAAGTCGTAAAAATTTGTCATGACTCAGTTGCTTATCAATGGAAATTTTGGTCCCAGTTGCTGTCTCAAGTCAAGGACTCTCCGAACCATTCATTGAGGGACTGTTTGAAGTTACAACGGCACTGAAAAAAGTGATTTAGGACCATTTTCACACTTGATGACTGTTGCAGCATCCCCATGGTCAAAATTTGGATGCTGGGCAATTGGTATGGATTTATGATGGCTGCATCATCACAGGGTCATGTGATTCCCCTTTGGTGATCCCTGACAAGCAAAGTCAATGGGGAAGCCAGATTCACTTAACAACCGTGCTACTAACTTAACTAACTGCAATGGTTCATTTAACAACTGTGGCAAGAAAGGTAAAATGAGGCAAAACTCAACAAATGTCTTGCTTAGCAACATCAATTTTGGGCTCAATTTTTGGTCATAAGTCGAGGACCACCTGGACAGTATTTTGAAAGAATTAAGTCGCCCAAGTAAGAAAATCAGGTGCAGATGCCACAATAAGGATGAATAATCATCACCTGATTGGCACTTGGGTCCATATCTTCCGGCCTGACACATTTCACAGGCTGTGCCATGGAAACCTTCTCGGCACTGGCAATCTCCATTGCCTTCAATGCCATCTTGACACACCCCATTGCCGGAGCACCAGTTGCCTGCTTTCCCAGGACACATCTCACACATCACACCGTAGTAGCCTGGACAGCAGACAGAGACCTCAGAAAACAGACATATTGATAGTCAGAGCAGGAAGAAAAAATAGAGATTTTGTACAAAAAGTAAGGATTACTGCTGAGTGTCTCTTTATTTTGATTCTTTGAGTTGACCAGAGGCATAGAATCACAATCACATCAAGTATTAGTATTGCTTTATAAATCCTTAGGAAGACCAGATCTGGAATACTGCATCTGGTTTTTGGTCACCACATTACAAAAAAGATGTTGAGACTTTGGAAAAGAAAAAAGAAGTTTAACTGATTAAGGGCCTGGAGACTAAAATATCCGACGAATGGTTGCAGGAATTGGGTATGACCTGTCTAGTGAAAAGAAGGACTTTGATAGTAGTGTTCCAATATTTGAGGGGCTGCACAAAGAAGACAGGATCAGCTTATTGTCTAAAGCACCAGAAGACAAGACAAGAAACAATGGATGGAAGCTATTCAAGGAGAAGTAACTTGAAATCAAGGAGAAACTTCCTAACAGGTAACTAGTGGAGCCGTTTGCCTTCAGAAGTTGTACGTGCTTCATCACTGGAGGTCTTTAAGGAAAGACTGGACAGCCACCTGCCTGAAATGGTATGGGGTCTCCTGCTTGAGCTGGGAGCTGGACTAGAAGACCTCCAAGGTCCCTTCCAGCTCTATTCCGATTGATTGATTAGATGGCCACATAAAATCTTCAAATAAATTAATGTCATGTTCAAAAGTTTATATTGCTTAGGGTTTGAAATGGTATCATAATAGTATCTTCTTCCTTATCATTTCTGATATGGCACCAGTAATATCAATATACACACACATATATATATATATATGCATCAGTAGGGTAGTCAGTTATGTATTTGCTCAGATTATGAGTGAGAAACAGATGTATGGATATCTAATCAATAGAGATGACTTACTAGGGAAACTTTGATGCAGGTAAAGTAGCATCCAACTAATTTCATGCCTCCAGATTTAAATACACAGTGAGGAAGGTTCCCTTGGCCTGGATTTTGCTGTTGGTTAAAAGGGGGGGGGGGAATGTAAAAAAGTTAAGCAGATATACAGTATATTCCAAACATATAATATCTCAGGCATGATGAAGAAAGAACTTTTATTTTAATTCTTTCTTTTTAAATTCTATATTGTAAACTATATTGTATACAATATAGCATACAAAGAGAATACAAAAATAAATACCTTATTTTTCGGAGTATAAGATGCACTGGAGTATAAGACACACCAAAGTTTTGAAGAGGGATTTTTTTTTTAAGTAGGTAGGTAGATAGTGGGATAGAGAGGAAGAGAAAGAGAGAGAAATACAGTAGGTAAGTAGGGAGAGAGAGAGAGTCGTTAGCTAGCTAGGTAGATAAAGGGATAGAAGAGAGAGAGAGAAGGTAGGTAGTAGAGGGATAAAGAGAGAAATAGAAGGGGAGAGAAAAATACAGTAGATAGGTAGAGAGGAAGGGAGAGAGCAGTTAGGTAGGTAGGTAGATAAAGGGAGGGCGGGAGGGAGGGAGAGAGAGAGAAATATAGTAGGGAGGGAGGAAGAGAGAGAGTGTTTGCAGGTAGGTAGAGGGATAGAGAGAGAGAAATAGAGATAGAGAGAAATACAGTAGATAGGTAGATGTTTCTGCTGGCACAGCACTTGATCAATTTAATTCTCATCAATCAGTTAAAGAGCTTTCCAAAAGGAAAAAAAAAGTTTTTGCACTCTGCAAACTTCCCCCAAACAGCCTGTTTTTTGCAAAAACGGGCCCTTTTTTCCAAATAAAAGGCATGAATAGCCTTGTGGGGGCTTGCAGAGTGCTCCTGGAGGGCAGAAGGTGGTGGCAAAAATGAGTAAAAAATGGCCCGTTTTTTTGTCTGCAAATTGCATGCATAGCCTTATGAAGGCTTATAGATTGCTGCTGGGGGGGGGGGAAACGGCCCCTTTTTTGTTCATTTCTGCCCTCCCCAGCCCCCAGGAGCTCTCTGGAAGCCTTCATAAGGGTATGCATGGGCATTTTGGTGAAAGGGCGGAGCTTTGGGAGGCAAAAAATGCTGTATTCAATGTATAAGACGCACCCAGATTTTTAGCCTCTTTTTTGAGGAAAAGAGGTGCGTCTTATACTCTGAAAAATACGGTAGTAGGGGAAGTTAGGAAAGGGAAAGGGGAAATGAATAGTGGGGGAAAGGAAGGGGAAAAAGAAAGAAAAGCCATTGACTTCCAACTCCTTTTGGTGCAGTAGAATAAGGCATGAGGGAACCGGTTCGGGGGGCAGGGCAGGCCTGTGTTGCTGCCAGTTCTGCGACCCAGTTCTGAATTCCACTACCGGTTCAGCTGAACTGGGCCAAACCAGGAGCAACCCATCCCTGACTACCACACAATAAAGTATCCAGTTCATTTAATTTAAATCTTTCTTTCAATTGAAGATATGTAAACTAATGACAGACATGGCCTTCTGATTCTAGCTCCTCCTTAGATTTGAGAGTAGGATTCATTCAAGTTAAAAGATATTATTTTACCATAAGTCCACCAGTTTAGCCTTGTCACTATTTCTTTTCTTAAAAAAGCTTCCTGTGGGGAAACCCAAAGAGGCACCTTCGTGGAAAGTCTTGTTCTATATTTATTCCAGACTCTCAAAATAGCACATGTGACAAAATGATGGTTGAAGTCAACATTTACTTTATCATACATTATTTTAACTTTTTTGTACCTTCCCACAATAAACATCATTAACTCCAAAATTCTGCATAAGGGCTGCTTTTTCTGCAAAGCTTTTAGGTGACACACTTCAGGAAAAAAAAGTATCAAATGTAATAAAGCAATACTTACTGCAAGCACTGATCCTGTTGGGCACTTGATCTTTTTATTGCATTTAGCACATCTTGACTGGAATACAGGAGAAAAAGGATAATTAATAGACATTTCAGAGCATGGAAAAATATTAGCATCAACTGCAGAGGGGTAACAAATCACAACACAACAAAAGCCCACATTAATCACTATCTGGTTATTATTTTTCATATTTTGTGGTAGCAGAAATATTAGCATTGTCAATATAATTATTTATTAGCTTTTTATCCTGCCGTTATTACTTTATAAGTAACTCAAGACAGCATAATATTCTTTCCTCCTTCTATTTTCCCCACAACAACAGTGGGTTGGGCTGAGAGAGAAAGTGCTTGGCTCAAAGTCATTCAGTGGCTACGAAGCCCAAGTTGGCTTTAGGACACACACATTTCTGGTTTCATTTTAACCACTACACCAGGTTGGCTCTCCATCCTTATCTGAACTAGAGATGGGTTGCTACAGGTTTGGGAGAACTGGTAGTGGCAATTGGGACTGGATCACTGAACTGGTAGGGACTGGGTTGCCCATGCTGTTGCCGGCATGTTTTTTTGTCATTTTATAGTGTTCTGCGCATGTGCAGAACAATTTACAGCCAACTGCGCATGTGCAAACAACGCACGGTGGGTGCATGCACGAGCAAAGTAACGCCGGCAGCAATCCACCCCTGATCTGAACCTGTTGTTATTCCCACATCAAGATTTATTCATTTCAATGTCATAGACCTTTTTTAATCTTAATAAACCAATCACTCTTTACTGAGGTTTTAAAATCTATATTTGGGGTCTGAACCTGCCAGGATGCATTAGGTCCATAAAATCATGACCATATTCGATTGTTTTTGTTAGGATTACTGCTGCTGTAAAAACAAAACGCTAACACTAAGTTTTGTCATATTGATAAAATCCTCACTAGGGTCATGTATACATTTTTAATTTTTAATTATTCAGGTTTTAATGTTGTATTGTATTGAGTAATTTGTGCATGATCTAGAGTCCTTTTGTGAGGGAGATGGCTGGTTAAGAAGTTTGATAGATAGATAGATAGATAGATAGATAGATAGATAGATAGATAGATAGATAGATAGATAGATAGATAGATAGATAGANGAAACACTTGACTCATTTCTTATTGGTTACCTTGAGGAAAAAGCCGCATACGTAGATATTGTCTAACTTCTTCTTTTGTCTTGGGCCATAGGTACTGATTACGTGTCTCTAAGCGAACTTTAGCTGAACCTTGCGGTTTTGGGCTTTTGACATAAGGACATATACTGGAACATTTTGTGGTTGAAGGCTGATGACATTTCCCTGTCCCTTTAAGCAAGCTTCTAACTGTTCCTTTTGCCACCTCTCTGTTTTTATATTTTTAATCCATATTTTATTCTACTTTAGAAGGGTTCATGTGGGATATAGGAAATATATTTCAGGAAAAATGGTTGGAGAATTTTGTCTGCTACTTGACCTGAATGGAAGAACAGGCAAGGATTTCAAGCCTTTGTTTTGCCCAGTTGTGGTCTTCCTCAACCCACTTGCCAGAGAATACACATAAGGATTTCAGGCCCATTTTCTTGGACATGAATCTATGTCGTGCCGCGGATGCAGACAAAAGAGGAGTTTCATAAGATTACGTATGTTTATCCTTCAGTGTAAACGTTTCTCTTCAAAAAATGCTCATTTCTCTTCACCCAGCCACTAGCCATTGAAAGTCTGAACATAGCACATAGAAAAACATTGAATGCTACATTTTAAATGATACGGAATTATGTTTTACTTGTTGTAATGCTGAAATGAACATGTGTATATCAGCAATGCTTGTGCATGTGGTTAGTGAAAAATATGGTCATTTTTAGCTGTTATGGCTCTATCTCTATATACTGTAGCAGAGGTGGTGTTCAGTCAGTTCTGACCAGTTCTGGAGAACTGGTAGCGGAAATTTTGAATAATTCGGAGGACTGGCAAATAGACTGGCCCCGTCCCCAGCTGATCTTCTTTTGTTGCCCTGGAAAACAGGTTAGTGCAGTGGTTCTCAACCTTTCTAATGCCGCAACCCTTTAATACAGTTCCTCATGTTATGGTGACTTCCAATCATAAAATTATTTTAGGTTTTCCGTATTTTTTCAAAAATATGTGTTTTCCGATGGTCTTAGGTGACCCCTGTGAAAGGGTCGTTCGACCCCCAAAGGGGTCCCGACCCACAGGTTGAGAACCGCTGGGTTAATGGGATGGGAAGGGAATGAGGATTTTGCAGTATCCTTCCCATGCCACAAAGCCATGCCCACAAAGCCATGCCCACAAAGCCATGCGCACAGAACCGGTAGTAAAAAAAATTGAATCCCACCACTGCACTTACTCATGGTGCTATTTTATCAAGCATGAATTATGAATTGAAAGCATTTGCCAGCAATACCTGTACAAGAGGTTCCATTTCCAGAATAACCAGCAGAACAGGAGCAGGTGGGTTGAGAAGTAGTAGAGTCATTCATGCAACTGAAACAGAATAAAAAGGGATATATATTAACTTCTAGACATATGTTTATGATACTGTGTGTTAATTGTGTTGTGCTTGTTTGCCTAGATCACATTGCTCCCCTTCTCTCATTTGTCTAAATGTGTAGTTACAAAACAGAGATACACTGCAGGAAGCTCAAGTTTCTGATATTTGCTTCTTTCATATGCTAAAAGTGAAATTTTTGCACCTTGAAAATAAATGAAGATTGCTATTGAAAACAATTACAAAGTAAATCATTCTGAAGCAGGAATTAGTTGTAGTTATTAATAGGCCCATTAATATCTATCAGTGAAAATATTCATCTTACTTATTTGGATAAGAAAATTAATAAATCATGGGAAATGTCTTGTCTACTCTTGCCTACTCTTGTTCAGAATGGAAAGATGTAGTTTGTGAGACATTTATATTTAAATTAAGGAAGATCTTGATGAATAGAATCTATACCTTCACAGGTTTTATTTGTAAATAATCTCTTCTAATGTATTAATTGTACATTAGAGAATTTAATAATCACCAGATCACTTTTAAGGGATTAAGCAATGTATAATAGAGAGGTTTAACTAACAACTCAGCTTCATAGAAATACTATTTAATTTATTGATTAGATTTTTATCCCATCTATATTAATATACAAGTAACTCAAGGTGATAAACATAGATGATGCTCTTCCCTCCTCCTCTTATCACAACAACCCTGTGGAGAAAAAGAGGGAAAAAATCCCTATGGGAGTTGTTACTGAAAACAATCACATAATTTCAAATAGGTTTTTAATTGTGCCCTATAATTGTACTTACTTTGCATTCACATCACATGTACCATTGCAGAAATCAGTTTCAATCTCTGCAAGAGAACATTTTGTTAGAATATTGTCCAATACCCATGCAAAAATCATTCTCTAAAATAGTCATGTACTTTGTAATGTGGGAATGATCTTGGGAAGCATAAGAAAGAGCTGTAGGCTGGACAACTAGCTTATAAAAGATATCCTGAGCTTCAGAAGCAGAGGTGATCTGGAAAGCATTTCAGAAAGGACCCTGCCTAGTTTCCTGGAGAATAAAGGGAAGGGAAGGGCAAAATTCTCACAAGATTCTGTTAATATAACCTTACAATACGAAAGTATTATTGGAATCAGCTGGTGTCAGCTGGAGAGCTGACAGCTCAGTTTGAGACTTGAGCTCCGTACAATGGGGTGAGCTTCTGTTACTTGCTTTAGCTCTTGCCACCCAAAAGTTCAAAAACATACAATTGCAAATAGATAAATAGATACCACTTTAGTGGGAAGATAACAGCATACCATGTGCCTTTGACATATAGCCATGCTGGCCACACGGCCATGGAAATTGTCTTCTGACAATGCCAAGAAACAGAGATGAGCAGCATGGCCTAGAGTCAGACACAACTGTCAGGAAAACCTTTACATGTACCGTACTCATGGTACACTTTTTATTTGGATTTCCTCAAAGTCTTGAGGAAGTCTTGGAAGACTTTTACTCTCTTTCTAAGAGAGGCAGAAAAATCCCACCTGTAGTTTTAAGACTGCCTTCAATTCACTGGGACTTCTCTATCTGCCAAGCATCTAGCTACAGCATTGCTGCAAATGAGCAGCAAGAGGGTGTACCAGTAGCCAATTTACAGAATGCCATGCTACAACTAACACAACAGCTGCAACAGTTTGCCTTAAACTGCAGCAGCACGGCAACATGAAGCTCAGCCAATGCTCCTGCATTCTTACTTTGGCTTATCAGAAAAATTCAGAGGGCCCAACCAGGATCAGTTCTGGATCTTCACAGCGCAATGTGAAATGTTTATGGCAGGTAGACCAGTGGAGTTTCCCAAATGCTATTACAGTACATTGGCCTAGATTCTAAGCTCTTAATTTGTTTTTAAAAAATTGTTTAACATTAAGGCAACGAATAGAATTTTAGAACCTTGTGAATGCAATACTATTCTCAAATCAATCTACTTTCAGCAAGGACTCTGGCTCTAAGATAGGGCTTAGAAAATAAAAGGCAGGTGGTTGCTATCCAATTGTTTGTTTGCTTTTTTACCTTCTGATATATGGGTGTTTTATGATTGGTTACACTCAGGAGTGGGCTTAAATTTTTTTAGCAAGGGGTTCTCTACCTGGTTGCTAGGTAGGCGTGGCCATGGTGGACGTGGCCTAGTCGGCCTTCTGCATCATGACATGGGGGCAGGCGTTTTTGCTTTCCCTGGATTCCGGAAGCTTTACTTGAGCCTCTGGGAGGGTAAAAAAGGCCTCCCCAGACTCCAGAGGCCCTCTGGAGGCTGGAAACAGGCCCATTTCCAGCTTTCCTGAACTTCTGGTAGGCCCATTTTTCACCCTCCCCAAGCCTCCGCATGCGCCCTGCACTTACTTGCATCCAAAATGGGCCACTTGGGGAGGGGCAGAGCCAGCCAGAAGTGGTATTTGGGGGTTCTCTGAACTGCACAGAATCTTAGCTAGAGGTTCTCCTGAACCCCTGAAAACCCCCAGCAGCCTCCCCCTGGTTACAGTATATCATGGACACTTTTTGGTGAGAAAGCTCATTGCATATTCTTGCATTTAAAAGGTGCCCACTGACCCCAAAGTTTGAGCTCTGGAGTATGTAACACTACTTATTGATGGTATTGTTATTTTTTCATTCTGCTTGATGAACCTAATTAAAGCAGGAATTGTTTATAAACTACCTCATTAATTGATTAAATGTCCAAAATATTGTACACATTTTATTTTTTTATGGTTTTCCTTTATCAATAGCAATAGTAGTTGTGATTATTTATTATCCCTTATGTTTGCAATATATTTGTATTCATCCCATTGATTTGCCCTGAGAACCAGGCACCTTCTGCAGATTTGACCACAGGAAAAGAAAAGGGATACATTAGTAGTACAACAAAACTCCAGTTCTGAGATTTTGAATGTAGCCCTTTTTCATTTCTTTTAAATTTGATTTTTAAAAAGATACAATAGGTTTAAATCTGGAATGATACAACTTGGTTCCCAACTTACCTTGGTCACAATTAACTCCTTTAAATCCCGCGTTGCATGTGCACCTTCCATCACCTAACAACCCATCGTTGCACTGTCCTTTATTGCAATTGCACTCTAAGAAGAAACATAAGTCTTTGTCAGAAACAAATTAATACATCCAAAGTTACCTATGCTGGTTTTTCTGCACCATCATGGCCAACGGAAAATTAATTATAATTATATGCAGCCTTTACCACAGTGGTTGGTTCCTACCAGTTCAGACCGGTTTGGCCAAGCCAGTAATGGTTTGGCAGCCTGGGTCACTGGAACCGGCAGCGACTCAGGCCTGCCACTCCCCCGAACTGATTCCCTGGGTGGCGCCAGAGGCCGCCATCTTATTTTTCAGTTCTGCGCATGTGCAGAACAATTTTAATTGCACTGTGCCTGTGCGCACAGCACCCATAAATCACGCACGCACAGCGTGCACACGAGCAAACTAGCAGTAGTGCCTGCCGGAACTCACCCCTGCTTTACCACTATCAATAACTGCACAGGATCCTAGAAATGAAATGTGAGTGGAAGTATTTGAGAAATGAATCCAATATTTGTAGAATGACGTTTTAGGAGTTTACAATGTATCTAGCATTAGAATAACACAAGTTTGAGTGTCTTGCAGGTGGCCCTAGTCTAAAGCAGTGGATGAATCCAGGACATCTCCATTTAGGTAAAATTAAATAGGATAATTGTTTGGCCATCTGTTTGAGGACTTCTTTAGGCCACATTAAAAATCGAAGGTTGGCATCAAGTTTCAGAAAACCCTGGAGACTGCATGCAAGTCTTTTTGTGAGTGTCACTGTTTTAGACCAAACGCTTCTCCTATTCAGTAGCACAGATGCTATTCCGATATTCCAACCAGAGATGGCATAGGCGGTATAGAAGTTTGATCATAAAAATGAAAAAAACAAACAAACAGTTTTTCCTAATTAGTTGTACAGGTGGTCCTTGACTTACAATCATTGTTTGGAGACTGCTGGAAGCTACAAAAGCACTGAAAAAGTGACATAAAACTGGTCCTTGCACTTGCAAAAGTTGTAGCATCCCCGTAGTCGTGTGATTAAAATTCAAGCACTTGGCAATTGGCATGTATTTACTGTACTTGCAGTATCTCGTGTGTGTGTGTATGTGTGTGAGAGAGAGAGACAGAGACAGAGACAGAGAAAGACAGAGAGAGAGACAGAGAGAGAGAGACAGAGAGAGAGACAAAGAGAGAAAGAGACACAGAGAGAGAGAGACAGAGACAGAGAGAGAGACAGAGAGACAAAGAGAGAGAGAGACAAAGAGAGAGAGACAGAGAGACACACAGAGAGAGACAGAGACAGAAACACACACACAGAGAGAGAGAGAGCGACAGAGAGAGACAGAGACAGAGAAAGACAGAGAGAGAGACAGAAAGAGAGACAGAGAGAGACAGACAGAGAGAGAGAGAGACAGAGAGAGACAGACAGAGAGAAAGAGAGAGAGAGACAGAGACAGAGACAGAGAGACAGAGACACAGAGAGAAAGAGAGAGAGAGACAGAGAGAGAGACGGAGACAGAGACACAGAGAGAGAGAGACAGAAAGAGAGACAGAGAGAGAGACAGAGAGAGAGAGAGCAACAGCGACAGAGACAGAGACACACACAGAGAGAGAGAGAGAGAGAGAAAGAGAGAGAGAGAGACAGAGAGAGACAGAGAGAGAGAGACAGAGAGAGAGTGAGACAGACAGACATTCAGATAAATAGAATAATGGATGGAAGGATAGACTGGATAGA